GGGAACCTCCTTCCCACTGCCACTCTGCCTTCCTGCCTGCTGGGGCTCTGCCGTCGCCCTGCCATGTTTCCACTGACCTCGGATCCACACGACCCTACACCCACCGGCCTCTGATCGGCGTGCGTCCTGCATCATTGCATGTGGCTGTGCGAGTCTAAAGAGGGACTTGTGGACTCGTATTGGACTTATGGGCTTGGGTTGGACTGGGCTGGGATGCTTTCTTGATATAAAGCTCTTTCTTATACATATCTGAGTGACCCTGGACTTATTTCTTTAGTCAACCTGGCCTAACACAGCACCCAACGCAGCCCAGCATGGAGTGAGGACACACTTCTCAACCTGCGTGATGTGTCTGTGGATCGGAGGGTGAGTGGCACACCAGAAACGTGACGCGGTCAGTATTCTGATTGTGCCCTGCTGTACCGGGGATGAAGATCCTACTCATGTCAATTGAATGACTTCTTCAGTGTACTAAGTACAACCCGAAGCGGGTAAGCGCACAGAGCTTCCACTTAAGAGGGAGCTAACCCAGTACTTGACTCACTCAAGTGCTTCTGGGTGTATGCTGGGAGCCAGGAGGAGCCCACTCCCTGGCTGGGTCACCTCAGGCCAGTTACATCAACCCCAGTGCTCATTTCCTGAGAAGCTTCTAGGAATTAACACAAGCAAAGTGCTTAAAACAGTCAGTGTTTGGTACAGAGTAAGCACTCAGTATCAGTGTTCATGCAGAAAGGCCAAGTCGCAAAGGAGTCTCAAGAATTAACTACTGTAGGCACGCTAGCTAAACGTCTCCGCAGGAGAACGTGACCCCAAATCTCAGCGTCTGCGCTGTACTTGGACGCCGAGGAGAAGAGGTGTGGTGTTCAGAGATCAAATGGTCAGACCTGGAAGTACACATCCAGGAAATGTGGGCTGCTTCTTGGAGCACTTCCTGTAGCTCACAGACTTCCTCTTTGGAAGGCTGATCGGGAAGCTCAGGGTCTCTCTAGCTGTTGTGAATGTTTTCTACCTGGTCATATTTGCATCTGAGGAAAGTGAGTCGCTGTCCTCTCCGCTACTTACAAGAGAGACGCAGTTACTGAATTGTGCTCAGGAAATACGATACTTGGGGACCGTTCTGATTTATCAAAAGTCTCCTAAATGCCGCTTCCTAACACCAGCATTCCCGTGAAAGAGGAGCTCCTGTGTAATGCCAGACAAACAAGCTGCCCTTCTGGAGAAAGAAGAGGCTGTCTGCTCCCATAAAGAGTTACCGTCTCGGAAACCCCGGGGGCTACTTCTGCCCTGTCCTAGAGTCGGGTCCCACCCGATGGCAGTGGATTTTGAGAGAGTTTGTCGGAGAAACGAATGGGTCTGCGGTTTTCCTTCCTGGCATTCTGAGTGATCGCATTCTGAGCGGCAGGGAGGGCGCCCAGTCTTACGCTGCTGGCTTCCAGGAAGGCCTTCTCCAAGCAGCAGATGCGATCTTCTGCTTGTCTAGCTAACTTGGTGATCACGTTTTCCTTGTAAGGTTGATTTCTAGAGTTGCTGATACAGGAGTTGAAGCTACAAAAGGATTAAGGGAGAGACAGGAATAAGATGATGTTCATGAACCTCCTGATGTCCAAATGCAAATGATAATAATTATAATAACAATGCGCACCTAGGCAATAGCCTTCTGAATGGTTTACTTGTGGATGGTTTATTTTTTTCATGAACCTGTCATGTGCTTATGTGGGTCGATCTGTCACCGATTCCACTCATCAGGGAGATGGCGGCAGGGGTGGGGTGGGGGGGTGAGGTCGAGTCTCACTGCAGCCAATTAGCTTTGTTAGACTACCCCCCCCAACCCATGCTGACTCACTCCGAGGAGACACTGATTGCTCAGCTGCGGTGGGAAGTTCAGAGCCGGCAGCACATTTGCCCACGTGAGAACTGAGTGCTGTCAGGCTAACAACCTTCACAGCCTCTGCTTGCCCACCGCCAAGAGCCAACACCATCAAGACCATCAGACCCTCCTCCTGCATCACCTCCTGCTCTCATATCCTGGGCTCAGGGGCCGTCGTCCACTGTGTGCTCCGGAAGGCCCACGGTAGTTCCCTCTGGAGATTAAAACCAACTTCAATAGAGACTGATCAGAACGGGGGCTTTTCATTAGATGGCAAAATACTGGGGTCCCACCTTCTGTTCACTTGGTTTTCATTTCTCTCAATTGAAAGGATGATCGTGAATCAGCTTACTTGCTGATTTTGGAAGGGTTTCTATTCCTGTGTCTACATGGCCCTGTTAGCTTTTCTCCGGCTGTGTAAAGCATGTAAGCACACGTACATACCTACCACGGCGTTTTAGCAACTGTCAAATGAGTCCCCTGAATCTGAGCTCCCCACGCCACCCCTGGGAGCTTTGTCTGTTTAAAGACCACTCACACCAGCATGGGAACGTCTTGTGAGGGTTTCTCCGTGGCAGCCCATGGGCGTTTGGAGCTGAACGATTCTTTGTCTTACGCACGGTAGCTATTTGGCAGCCTCCACAGTTGATGCAGTGATTAAGTGCTCTGAGGCTAGCCAAAAGGTCAGTGGCTCGAATCCACCCAGTGGGAGAAAAGGCCTGCCTGTCTGCTCACTTAAAGCTTGTTGTTGTTGTTGTTAATTTGGGGGCTGGGGTGGGGGTGGGGGGTTACTATGCTTTCTGGATATGGAATCTGTGGAGACAGTAACTACAAGAATGGTTTCTTGGGGGTGTGCCAGGGGAGGTGGGGGAAATGGGGAGCTAAGGGTGATGTGCACAAGAAAGAAGAGGGTGTTCGAAAATTGATCTTGGTGATGGTCGTTCAACTCCTCTTAACATGAAGAACTATTGAATTGTATGACGTGTGCGTTGCAAGCCAATGAAACTGTTAAAATTTTTTTTAAAAGAGTGTGGTTGTTATTTTCTGACTCCTAGTGACTGTACAAGAGAACAAAAGCGCAGCTTGGTCTTCACCATGGCTGTGATGTTTGGGCCCCTTGTGGCCGCCTCGGAGTCAGTCCATGTCACCAGGGGTCTCCTTTTTTGCTGATCCCATATAGGTTGTCTTCCTCTGAGGGAGGGTCCCCACCTGGCAACATTTCCCAAGCGCGTGAGACCAAGTCCCACCATCCTCACTTCCAAGGAGCCTTCTTCTGCCTGGGCTTCTTCCAGCGGAGGCTTGTGCGTTCTTCCGGCGGCCCCTGGGACGTTTGCATCCTCACCACAACTGCAAAGCCCTGCTCCTCCATAGGCCCTCCCGTTCACCGTCCAGCTTTCGCGTGCTTATGAGGCCTTTAGAGCATGACGGCTTTGGCCAGGTGCACCTTGACCTTCAGATCGACGACTTTGCTTTTCAACACTTCAAGAGATCTTTTGCAGCAGATCTGCCCAGTGCAACAAAAACGCAGAAACCAAACTCACTGCCATTGAGTCGATACTACTAGGGACTCAGTGGGACGGGGAAGAACTCTCCCCGTGAGCTTCCAAGACTGTAACTCTTCACGGGAGTAGGAAGTCCCGTCTTTCTCCTGCGGAGTTCCTGGTGGTTTTGAACTGCTGACCTTGCGATTAGCAGCCCAACTTGGGACCGTGATGCTCCAGGGCTCCTGCCCAAGGCAATATGTGGTTTGAGTTCTTGGCTGCTGTTTCCATGGGCATTAATTATAGATCCAAGCACAATTAAATCCATAACAACATCAAGCTTTTCTCCATGCATCGGGTTTATTGGTCCAGTTGTAAGGACTGGGGTTTTCTTCTGCTGAGGTGTAATCCACACGGAAGGAGATAGTCTTTGATCTGCATCCGCAACTGCTTCCCTGCCTCTTTGCTTCCACTCGGCATGGCGGGCCATCCATGTATTGCCATCCTCACGAGGCGTTGTTCCTATCATCCAATCTTTAGGATTATTTGCTCAGCCTGCAGACTTAATAAGGAAGGTAAATGGATACAAACCTGAGACAGACCCTTGCAAATTTTAAGTTGTGCCATAACCCTTGCTCTGCTGAAACACCTGCCTCTTGGTCTAGGTACAGGTTCCGTACAAACACATTCTGAAATTCCTGTTCCTCACAATGGTATCCATCATTTGTTATAACTCTCAGTCAAATGACATGGTTTCGTCAATGAAACACAGGTCAGGATCTTTCTTGTATCCTCTGCTTTCAGCCAAGATCCATCTGATACCAGCAGAGATCTCTTCTGTTCCTTGTCCTCGCTGGAGCTCAGCTTGAGTTTCCTTGTCAATGGACTGCTGTGGCCATTTTTGAATTATTGTCAGCCAAATCGTGTGTGTGTGTTATTAAGGATGCCGTTCAATAATCTTTGCATTCTGTCGGATCATCTTCTTTTTGGAAGGGGCACATACGTGGCTCTCTTCCAATCGGCTGGCCAGGTAGCTTTCACATTTCCTAGCAGAGACGAGTAAGCCTCCAGTCCTGCATCTGTGGTTGAAATGTTTTCAAGTGATAGCCCATCAATTCCTGGAGCCTTGTTGTTGGCGAAGGCTTTCGGTGCAGCCTGGACTTTTTCCTTCAGGATCACCAGCTATTGATGGTGCCCTATCTTCTGACATGGTAGAACTTGGACCGATTCTTTTTGGTACACTGGCTGATTTTCTACAATCTTCTCTTGATGTTTCCCTTCATTCAATATTTCACCCACAGAATCCTTCAGTATTATAACTCTTAGCTTGGATTGTTTTTCAGTTCTTTTAGCTTGAGAAATGTTGAGTGTGTTTCTCTCTCTCTCTCTCTTTTAACTCCGGGTCTTTGCACATTTCATTATAATACGTTATCTTCTGGATCTGCCCCCTTGAGATTCTCTGTTCAGCCCTATTGCTTCATTGTTTCTTCCGTCGGCTGTAGAGACTCTACATTTAAGAGCAGGTTTCAGAGTCTCTTCTGACATCTGTTCATTCCCCACCCCCACCCCACCACGTTTCTTTCCTTTCTGTATTTGTTTACATTTTTAAAATCATTTTATTGGGGCTCATACAATTCATCACAATCCATACATACATCAATTGTGTAAAGCACACTTATACATTTGTTGCCCTCATCATTCTCGAAATTTGCTTTCCTCTTGGGTTCCTGGAGTTAGCTCATTTTCCTTTTTCCCTTCCCCCTTCCTCCCCCCTCCCCCCTCCCTCATGAACCCTTAATAATTTATAAATTATTATTATATCTTATCTTACACTGGCTGGCGTCTCCCTTCACCCACCCTTCTGTTGCCCATCCCCCAGAGAGGAGGTTATATGTAGATCCCTGTGATCAATTCCCCCTTTCTAGCCCCCCCTTCCCTCCCGGTATTGCCACTATCACTGCTGGTCCTGAGGGGTTCATCTGTCCTAGATTCCCCGCGTTTCCAGTTCCCACCTGTACCGCTGTGCACCCTCTGGTCTAACCAGGTTTGCAAGGTAGAATTGGGGTCCTGGTAGTTGGGGGGAGGAAGCGTTTAATAACTAGAGGAAGGTTGTGGGTTTCATTATTGCTATACTGAACCCTAAGTGACTCATCTCCTCCCCACTACCCCTCTGCAAGGTATGTCCAATTGTCTACAGATGGGCATTGGGTCCCCATCATGTGCCACCCTCATTCTCGATATGATTTTTTTTTCTCCCCCGCCTTTGGTGCTTGAAGCCTGGTCCCTTCATGACCACACATGTTGGTGTGCTGCTTCCATGTGGGCTTTGTTGCTTCTGGGCTAAATGGCCGCTTGTTTACTTTCAAGCCTTTAAGTCCCCAGACGCTGTTAGTCTCATATTGTCTTTTTTTCAAGTATGATGCCTTTGACTGATTCCACAACTCATCTGGCCTCTGATCATTAGCATTCAGTGTGTCAGCGCTATGACTGAGGGGCTCTCTAGACTCAGGGAGAAAATACTCACGGGGTGTATGTTGGTGCTCGCGGATGCGTTTTAATTTTCTTTAGCTTCAGTCTGAACTTGCACATGAGAAAGGAATGGTTTGTTCCACAGTTGACCCTCGAGCTGTTTTGAATGAACATAGCACGTCTCCATGGTCTCATTCACAGATAAGATCAATGTGACTCTCGTATACCCCTGGTGGCATGGTGGGGCTACACGTTGCACTGCTAATGGAAAGACCAGTGGTTCAAAACCACCAGTCACTGCACGGGAGAAAGATGAGGGTGTCTACCCCTGTGACGTGTGACAGTCTCAGAAACCCACAGGGGTAGTTCTGCCTTGTTCTATGAGTTGAAATGGCTGTGAGCAGTGAGTTTGGGTTTTGTTTTGTTTTGGTTTGGTTTTTTTTGCTTGTAGTTCATTCAGGAAAGCCCATGTGTATAGTTGCTGCTGTTCATTTTGTTGAAGAAACAAACATTTTCGACAATTCTGTCCCGCAATCTTTAGTGTTGTTTCTATCACAAAGGCCATATCTCCCAATGACTGTTCCTTCTCGCATGTTTCCAAGTTTCGCTTCCCAACCTCCAGTCAGTGTTAGTGCGTCTCGGTTGCATGCTTCATCAACCTCAGACTGTAGAAGTTGGTGAGAATCTCCAGCTTTCTCAGCTTTGCTTTCATGGTGGGTGCAAATGTTTGAATGGCAGTCATATAATCCTGAAGGCTTATGGGTACCTTTAGTGGGTACCATTGATCATTGACAGCTTTGTGCTTCAGTTTAGATCTTGAAATGTCCTTTGTGAGATGTTCCGCTTAGAAGGGCAAATTGAAGAGGTACAGACCATCGGATTGTCGGGTGCACAATGGCCCACGCCAGTCCATTTCTGCTCACTCCTGTCTAAGACGTCAATCTGCCTGTGTTCCATTTCATTCTTGACTTCCAGTATCCCAAGATTCCTGCTGCCCACGTTCCAATGACCAACCGATGTTTGCGGCTATTCCTTCTCATCTTGATTGGTGCTACTGTCACCAAGTGGGGTCCCCCAAACTTTGCTCAGTCCACGTCACGAGGTTGGCTCTACCTTGAGGAGGCAGCTCTTCTCTGGGCACACCTCGAGGGTCTTCCAACCTAAGGGGCTCATCTTCCGGCCATGTGCTGCTGCTGTCCATAAGGCTTCCAGGGGATAGTTATTCAGAAGCAGATCGCGTCTTCCTTTTTCCTAGCCCGTCTTAGTCGGGAAGCTCCCTGGAAACCTGCCCGCCAGGGAGGACCCTGCTGGTTCTGAAACACTGGCAGCAGAGCTTCCAGCCACAAGTCCCCACCGTAAGGCAAACTGACAGAGGAGTGGTTGCGCTTAAAGGTTAAATCCTAGGAAAGCCTACGGGGCAGTCTACTCTCTCTGATTGTCACTGTGAGTTGGAAAAGACTCATGGGCAGTGGGGTTTGTTGTTCACTTATTGTATTTCTGGCCTCCACGTGAGGCTGGTGGTTTCAGACTGCTGACCTTGGGGTTAGCAGCCCAATGCGAAACCACTAGGCCACCAGGGACAGGTAACTGCTGTTGGGGGCTGGGGCGTAAGGGGCCAAGGTGTGGGCTTGGGGTTTGGGTGCTTACAGACCTGTTTCTTCTTGGCCAGGGGATGGAGCTGCTGACACCCAGCCCCGGAGCGTCATAACATGATGTTAGAAATTGCTTCCAATTGATTTTCACCGTGGGGTTAAGTCCAAGCCTGGATTTAAAAAACAGAGATATTACTTTCACCATATTCCCCTGTAACACTGCCCAAATTAGATGCTCAATCCTGAGTTGAAGATGGCAGCAATGAATTTGTGTGACGCTTCAAAATCGTTCAGAAAATAGTGTCACAAATGGATTTTTTTAAGCAAAGAAAAACAAAACACTGATTCTAATCACCATGTCTTCCCAGTCTGTAAACGGCAGCCACGCTGGAGGACGAAACTAAGGGATCTGATTGAACTTGTGGTGCCTGTGAATTAGTTCTTTCAAATGCATCGTTTTGCTCAATTACTGTGGTGGGAAGAGCAGCCACCTCAAGATGCCCACGTCCTAATCCCTGGCAAATAGGATTTTCCAGGTGTGATCAGAGTAATGGGCCTTGAGCTGGAGAGAGCATGCTGGGCCAGCCAGGTGGCATGCAGGTGACCACATGAATGCTTACAACGGGCTGCAGTCAGAAATGTGGTGACAGCAGAGGAAAAGTCAGAGAGAGATGGTTCTGTAGGCTTTAGCAATGGAGGGCGGCTATCAGGAGCCAACGACAGTGGGCAGCCTCTAGAAGCTAGAAGAGGCAAGAAGACGGATTTGCCTGGGGAACCTGCAGCCAAGGAGTCCGTCCTACCCACACTTAGATGTTGGCCCCGTAAGACACGTGCTGGGCTTCCAACCTCCAGAACAGAAGCTGAGAAGTGTGTGTGGTCTTAAGCCAAGGGTACTGGGGTCACTTGTTAGGACAATGATGCGAAACGAATGGGGCCTTCAAGGCTTAGCCAGAGACTTAAAAAAAAAACCGTACACCATTATTGTTAAAGCAAACTTCCTTAGTCGGCTATGGTGCCATGACTCGGGCGGGCCCAGTGGCCCCTGGGGGACGCCAGTGGGAAAAAGCCAAGGGAGCACAACCTGGGGCTTCTGCGTCACCCAAGGCCAAATGCTTGCCCCTTCCCTGCCCACAGTGGCCACAGGCAAACCCCCAACCAAACAGACACTGTGGCATCGAGGTGGCTCCTGCTCCAACCGCCCTCAAGGATGGGGAGAGCAGCCCCCGTGGGTTTCTGAGACTTTCGCTGCTTCCAGGGAAAGGGAGGCCCAGCTGGCGATGTCCCACCGCTGACCTTTCGAGTCCAAGTCCAATGCATGACCAGTAAGCCACCACGACGCCTACTACCCTGAGTCCTTTGACTCACCTGTAAGAGGGAAGAACAGTGACAGCAGCCCCTGTGACGGTGGCTGTCAGGAGTAGTGGTGACAGAGAAAAGACACACACACACCCCCAGTCTTAGTTCTCGACCACCAGTGAGTGTTGGGTAATGTCCCCTTATTTGTGGACAGGGAGTCCCCGGCAGCTTAGGACCTGCTCGAGCTGTGACCAAGCGTGCTGGCGGCCACATCACTTCTAATCCCATACAGCATCTCACAGAACATCAGTTGGTGCTGACATCCCCCAGACACAAAACTCGGGTTGACAAAAGCTCTCTCAGCACCGCCAAGTCCATTCCAACCCACAGCGCCTGAACAGGACAGAACAGAAGGGCCCTCCAGGTCTCTGAGACTGCAACTCCTAACAGGAATAGGGAGCCTCATCTTTCCCCCTCAGAGCGACTGTTGGGTTTGAACTGCTGACCTTGTGGTTAGTAGCACGGCTCATCGTAACCCACGACATCACAGGGTGGCAGATAATGAAAATAAAAGGCAAGGACAGTGACAACTTAAAAAGATGAGGAATTTGACTTAGGTCAGAACCGAGTGGTGCTGAAGTCATCAGAACAGAGCCCATCACCAGTCGGGTATGTGACCAGTCGGCTACAGGACCAGTAGCCCACCCATTGTCCCTGGGCGGGTGGAGAGAGGTCATAGTGTCTGAAGTCCTTTGACCACAGATAGGAGCCTTGAGTGTGAACATAAGAGAGACTTGCTTATTTGATGGTTGAACGTCAGTGGCTGAGAAAGAGCTACTTAGACAGAATTTAACTCCCTTTCTGTGTCAAGAGTCCAGAAAAGATCAGGTCAGAGAGAAGTCTTTGCTGGGGGGTGGGGGGGGCTGGGGGGACGGGGACGGAGGCACGGATCATCATGCTGCGAGCCACAGCCCTAGAACAAAAGGGAAGATGAAGGGCATCTATCTGGTTCTTCTCTGACAGCTTCATTCAACTTGCCCCAGCAACTGGGGACATGGTAGATGGGAGCCAGATTCCCATAGAAGGAGTTGCCGGAGGGACTTGCCTATGCTCCTGCCCGGAGGAGGCCTCAGGAGGAGGAACAGACCTGCCGCTGTTGATAATTCCCAGGGGCTGAGGAGGAACGGAGCTGAGCACCCACGGAGGTGCAGACGCCCGTGTCCTCAGCAGAAGCATGCCGACGTGAGAGCCTCCGTCACGGGGAACCCCAAAGAACAGTGCAGAGGCGGTGGAAGGAAGCCACTTGTTACACACTGTGTGAGTCTGGAGGGACTAGCGAAACCAATCCAGAGACGCTCTCATGTGTGTAAGAAAGAGCTTTGTACCAAAGAGTAATTGTATGTTAAGAAAACATCCCAGCCCGGTCCAGATCAAGTCTGTAAGTCCGATATTAGTCCATAGGTCCGATACCAGTCTGTAAATTCCTCTTCAGACTCACGCAACACATGCCATGACGCCAAAAGCAGGAAGATCACAGGCCAGTGGGTGGAAAGTCTCATGGATCCAGCGGTGGGGGAAGCATCTCAGCACTGGCGTGGTTCTCCACGTGGTTCCTCCAGCTCCAGAACTCTGGCTCCATCAGAGTAGCTCCATGTGGCTTGTTAACAGAAATGTCTCTCGTGGAGACGAAGCAGAGAGAGTATGTATCCCACCTCCAGGGAGGAAGACAGGAGTTCGCAGAATCCTCAGGAGAAGGCCATGCTCACACAGAGGCCTACTGGCTATGACCTGATTGACAGGCTAGACTCCACCCCTTCACAAGTTGACAGGAGATGATGTAACTGCCACAGACCCCAACCCAAATGATTGCCTACGAAAAGAAGTGATATTCATTAGGGGGGGAAACAGGACAGGATCCAGAGTCTCCCCAAGTTGACATTCAAAATGTCCCATATACAATGAAAAATTGTGGTACGTATGGAAAAAAATAATATAGAAGGCGTCGAAGACATTGAAGATGCAAGGTGACCCAAATCCTCACCTTATCAGACTGATAGAGATTTGGCAGCAATGCCTTCGGCTGCTCTCCACGAAGTAGATGAGAACATGGTCACGATGAGCCCAGGGTAAGAAACATCAGCCGGCAACAGGAAATGGAAGCAGAGAACACACGACACGAACATTCTAGAATCGAAGACAAGAATATCTGAACCAGAAACTTCACTAGATGGACTTCCCAGAAGAAAAGACAGAGGCGAGCGTAAAGGGCTCCACGGAAACCATCCGGCGTGAGAACACGAGACAGTCTGCTTAGAACCTAAACAGAGCCTCGGGCCATGTGACACGCGAAGGCTTTGAAGAGTTCATCGGAAAGTGGAATGAAAGGATCACGGAATCTTCCCACACACTCTCTGAAGCCCTCTCGTATGGTGCTAAATGCTTTCTCTTGAAGGCAATTTGAGTCCCTAGTACAGAGGAGGGAAATAACAGGCTAGCAAAAAAATATTGAAGCAACAATGGCCAAAATGTGCCAAAATTTGATGGAAGATCTAAGGTGCTTAGCATACCCCAAGGAGGATGCAAATGCAATGACCATGCCAAGGCACACCATAATTACAGCATTGGCAGTCAAATTCAAATAGGTTATTCCTTGGATGCTTCACCTACCCCCCACCCCCCCAAAAAGAAATTCATTATATTCAAAAAGGCAACCATTTGATCGCTGACTTCTCAAACTGGGAAATCCCAAAGGAGTAGCACATCACGAACTGGTAGAAAGAACGGTGGTAAAATGCCCAGAATTTAGTATTCAAGACCATTAGCCTTCAAAAATAAATGTCATAAATGAAAGAAGCAATCCATCAGCAATCCTATACCTCAGTAACAAGTGGTGATAGGCAAATGATGCGGCCTTTCTTGCTGCATGGGAAGAGTCCAGACTCGTCCCATTAAAGATGGCCCATGACCACTCAGGGAGGATATCTCTCTACAAAAGGACTCGGAACACTGATTGACAAGGATCTAAGATCACCACCTTCAGGGACTATATCTCAACATAAGGAAACCAAAACATCAGACCTCTTGAGAGTGTGAGAGCAAGGATGTCACTCTGAGGCCTGAGGTGCCTCTGACCAAAGCCATGGTGTTTTCCGTCGCCTCATCTGCATGTAACAGTGGGACAGTGAACAAGGAAGACCGAGGCGGAATTGATGCGTGGATCGTGGTGCTGCGGAGACTTGTGTGACTGCCGCTGGGACTGCCAGGAGAAAGGGCAAATCTGTGTTGGAAGAAGTAGGGCCAGAATGGTCCTTGGAGGGCCCGGCTTCGTTGGGCTCACTCATGCTGCATATGCCGTCGGGAAAGACCAGTCCTGGGAAAGGACGCCGTGCCTGGTATGATGACACGGAGTCACAGGAAAAGAGGAAGACCTGCCGTGAAATGGGTTGCCGCTGTGGTTGTGACCATGGGCTCCAGCAGCGCGATGATGGGGGCATGGTGCCGGATGACCGTGTTGGGTTCTGTACTCGATGGATCACTCCAAGTCAGAACCAAGTTGCTGGGACCAAACAAACCACATGCCAGAAACCGAAGAAGATAAAAGAATACCTGCATCGGTCATCAAAGAAGAAGCATCGTTAAGTATCCTAAAGACAGAAGAAGAATAGTGAGGCACGAGGCCAGACCGATTAAAAAGAATTATTGCATAAGTAATAAAAATACCGTGGGAGAGAAGTGACGCTGTCCATAGAGGAAAATGCCAAATAATCGGTGTAGCTTCTAATGCTCTTGAAGAGGTAGAGTATCATGCTAACTCCTTAAGTTTCTGCACACAGAAAGTTTCTCCTAAAGAGTACAGACAGAATGGGGGGAGAGA